CAGGTTTATTTTATTATTTTTCTGGAACAGTGACTCCTGGTTCGCAAACACCAAAATTGTGATTCATAATTTAGCAAGGTATAGGGTGTTTTTTATTTTTTATTAATTATTTAATGTGTTCATATTGAAAATTTTACAAATGTTGATTGAACTTCTGCATGTTTTTAAATTTCTGATAACAGCAAAGTTATCTAAAGTTATTGTGATTTTAAAAACAAAAAAAACTGCACCGTTTCTTTGCTCAGTAACAAGTGACCTTTTTAAGTAACTTGCCTAACTTTTTTTTTTGTCAATTTTGAACATAAGACTATAATTAGAAACAAAAAAAAATACTTTTTGCATAATGAGTGGGAAGAAGACAATGCTTATTTAAACCCAGCCCTTTGCTGCACAAAACTAAAGAATTACTCGATATATAATAATTTTATTATAATGCTGCTGTATCAACAATATCCATAACAATAAATTTCATTAGTTAGAACTGGTATTAATTGCAGTATTATTAATAATAACAATAGTAACACCATTCATCAGTTTAGATTAACATTCATTATCAATACAATACTACTAACAATCCTATTCTTATGCAACCCTTAATCACCATAATTGATAAGAAATAGTCCTCCTCCTCCATTTCATTACAGGTGAAGAACCATATTTCTGTATGATGATTTAAAAATATGTATATTGGGAGAAATTCCCAATCATAGATGGTACAATGATTTAGAGATCTACATCATTGTTCTATACTACATAAGTATAGCTGAAAATCTTTTTTTCTGATATATTTTAGTTACCTTTTTTCTAGTCTTTGAAGCAAGTTAGACATATACTTGAAGGTTGAGGAGTTTCTTGTACTTCATATAAAGTTTAAACAGACCAATTTAGTTAGTGAAACAGGTGAAATCCAATCTACCTCCTGCTGTCATACTTTGATTTAAAGTCTGGGTTACTGGCGCTGTCCCTGGTGTGTGGTTCATTCTAAAAGCTGTAACTAATTTAGTTTAAATTCTGTGTCTCTTAAATGTGGAGTTCTATTTATACCAACTATATCTGATTAAAAGCCTGCCTGTGTCAGAATCTGCTGTACATTCTTTAAAAAAGAAGATTTTTTTATGACATAAAACATAACCTTCACAGCCTCCATGGAAGGCCCTTAAATCATCTATTCCCGTTTCATCAGAGATCACATTTGCTCTGCACCATTTGGTTACTCTATTGACTCACTGGGATGCACTTTTCCTCCCACATCAGTGGAATTAGGTACAGATCGTCTACACCCACTGAAAATGTTTCCTTAAGAGTGCCAAAGCTTGGGCATTATGAAATATGAGATCTGTGGTTTTTTTTCTCCATTCCTTTGTTTTTTTTTTTTTTTTTTTTAAGATAAAACAAGCTTGTTAACAGAAAATTATATGGACAATTAGGCTCTGTAATTTCTTGTTATTTTAACGAAACAATCAAAAGGTCCAGGTCCAAAAATTCTTAAATAGTCTTGATTTTGGTTAATCTTCTTTTGTCAGATAGTTTATTAGGGTCTCTTTGCTTTTCATAATAAAGAGAAACCTGCAATCAGGGCAGGTCAGTGTCTGCTGCCTTCTCAGCTGTGATGTGTAGAGGGAGCGCTGGCTAACCACAGCCGTAACATTGGCAAGTCATTCAGATCATTACCCGTTAAATAGCTTAACACCAAAAGCTGTTCTAAAATTTTTTTAAGCGATACAGTAACCCTCAAACTTCATTAATGTCATCAGTTTATCAAGAAATAGCCTACTTTTAAATCTGTGTCAAAGCTGCAGAGACCCAGGTCTTACCTACTCAGTTAAGACCTTGCTACTCAGGATGTGGAGAATCCCAAGAAAGAGGCCTTGAACCCGGACGGGGGCTCAGGGATTTCTCGGTGCCTGATATCCATTTGTAGAAACTGAAAGTGAATATAAAGCATTTGTGAGGTTTGTCCTAAGAACTGCATGAGCAAGATGATAAATTGTATTATGTTTCATGAGAAAATCTAGACATTTAAGGTTAATTTTGGTATTGAATATAAATTGTTTCTCCACAGTTTAACAAATTTATGTTAATGGGGCACTTATCTGATTGAGCATTTGCACTTTTCCTTGAAGGAATACAAAATATACATTCACCTTAGATGGGGTGTTCATGTAGACCTAATTCAGACGAGGTTAACCCTTTTATTTACATGTATTAATATTCAGTTTGTTTGTGTTTTATTTCTTTTTATTTTTAATGGTTCTATTTTCAAAGAGCTGCAAGACGGGAGGTCACAAATTAGATGCTGTTGGTACTTCTAGAGATCCATTTTGAAGTTGTTAAAGTCGTAGGGAAGCGGCTGTTCCAACCTTTGCATTTCCGAATTCTCCCACCACTTTACACGAGTGAATAAAGTGAATGTGATAGGTAGTTTATCAAGGGGTGGGGGACACCAGCCACGTTTGATTGTGGCTGGTGTCTGGGAAGCATCTTGCTAACCAGTTAGCAACTTAGTGCTAGTAGGTTCCCAATGGGAAATTACATTGTGACCAAGTAGCAATAAATTGGTGATTTAAAAACGACACGGTCAAGGAACGCTATGGACAGCAGAAACAGGAAGAGGAGGATAGTTTTGTTTCCACTGCCTGCAGCTTTTACCTATATATGATTATAAAGTCAAAATATTAATTTCCTGTATATTTGGATTAACTTTTATAAATGACATGTTGACTAAAACTTTTTGCTGTTTGTCCATTATATATGAGTTCTACCTGTTTATTATTATGATAGAATAAAATAACTCTGTTGATCAGTTTTTGGTAGTTATTTCAAATGAGTAATAAAGTTACAGAGCACCCCTGGTCTTATGCAGGTTGATTAAAAAAAAAAGTCAAATAACTGAACTTTTTATGCTCAGGGATTTACTTATAGTTTGATTGGTACATTAAGAAAATGAAAACCAGACTTGTACTCTCATTACCAATAACCGCTGGACTGAAGGCGTGGTGAGGTTTTTCCCAGACTGATGAGAGCACCCGGAGCCCAGCCCCAGACGGGCCAAACCCAAATGGGTGGAAAGTTCTCAGTCATTAAGGTCATAGTCATTCCAAAGAAATTTAAAACAATCCACTGGACTTGGTTTCCAAGTTTGAAGATGTTTTGCTTCCCATCCAGGAAGATTTTTCAATTCAAAATGTCAGGAATAGCGTTGAGTTTGAGGTTTCATACAGTAGCCCAACAAAGCCTTGTTTTTGTTTTGAAAACATGCAAATTAGAACAGACAAAGGGGTCCACCCATTTGGAATGGGCGTTGTTTGACTTATTTTGTTAAACTGCAATACCCCATACCTACCTAAGTGTCTGAAAGGTCGGTCTTTAAAGGGGATTGCTGGCCTGGCTGAATAGACGAGGTCCTCCTCTCTCCTGTACAGGAGAGTACCCCATATTGTTTTCGCATCATGCCCCATTTTTGTAAAATCCCTTTAACTAACACTCACAGTTGCTAGTTAGTTTGAAAACTTTTGCAAAATTGCATAAACATAGAGAACAACATGTGACTATATATTTAAATTTAAACCCTACTATTAGAACAGAATCTCTGTATAGTATTGTGCATATATTTAAGTAAATTTTAAAGGGAAATCTGAGATTGTAACAATTCTTGTGTTGAGAAACCATGTTGATAGTTACATTTGAAAGCCAGCCTTTGAATACTACACACAAGTCTTTCTTTTTACATTATTAGGTAGAATTTTTTTTTTTTTCATGTAATGGCATCTATGTTTCTCAGTTACCAAGTCATTGCATTGGTTTGTGACGTCCATTTGGAAAGAAAATTTTCTTGAGCTGTAATGAGTGCATTATATCCTGTAGGCTTTCTTAGACTCAGTGGAGCTTCAGCTAATAATTATATCCTCAGTTAAGAGGTCACTCACTTAAAAATGTTAGAAAACAGTAATTCCTAAAATAATTGATATAATCAGTATGATGCTTCGAAGATGCTCAGTTTGCTATCACATCTAGCAGAATATCTCAGGAAGAAGCTGGAGCTAAAGAATGACCAATTTCATTGATTGACCTTAGAAATGGCAGCCAATTAACTTTCTATCCATCAGTATTAATTAAATGTTAAATAATACAATAAGTGGCAAATTCTCAGTGCTAGGAGTAAACTTCATTTACATACGTTTGTTCTGGATAAACCTGTGTCAAAGCCATTGTTGCTTCCAGCTTTTGTTGTCTCTCTTTGAAGAATTAAATTTGCTGTCACCCATTTGTGTGTGTGGGGAAACAGTTGTATCACACTGGTAGGAGCCAAGGTTAAAAAGAAGCTATACAAGTGTATACTATTTAAATGATCTCCCTCTGAGTTTACATGTCTTCTCATTCTAACCAAGTTATTGTGCACACTGTTATGTATCTCCTCGCTTTCTCATTACATTTTTTGATGTGCAGTGGGAGCTTAAGTCTATCAGCTGTAACAGGGTTGGCATGTTTTAATTTTCTGTTAATTAGAGCTTTGAAGGTGCACATTTGTGGGGATTTTCCCTTATTAAATGCAGCGTGCGGTCTACATGCCGGTTCTGCTGCTTCTTGACTACAACATTTTGCTCATTCAGCTATAAAGCCCTGACATTTGCATTAAGTCATCAAATCCCTCTGTGTTTCAGGAAGTAGTTGCAAGCTCTGATAAGAACAAATCATAAGTGGATGGCTGGCGAACACAACAATATTTTCTTCCACCATATCAATAAAACTGAATCAATTCACTGCTGATGTGTTTCTATTCAAGCATGCAAGTCGGGTCGTCAGGAGCTCAATACGATGTCTAATTGTTATGCATGTTCTGTTTGGGCTCAGGTTTGAAAGCTGTTTACCACAAATGTGAGCTTTCTACACACCTTTCATGGAACAGAGCCTTCATCTGTACAACATTTTGGTCTGGGTGATGTGTTTGTATTCTGCGTGGACATTTTGTAAGTACTTTGCTTCCATTTTTCTCCTTTCAGCCAGGAAGTATGACAGCGGCGAATATCTTAACATCACCGGCATCACAAGGGACCAGGCTGGAGATTACGAATGCAGCGCTCTAAATGACATTGCCTCTCCTGACACCAAAACAGTAAAAGTCACAGTCAACTGTAAGTGTATCTCTTTCTTCTTCTTCATTTTCTAGTACGCTTCTTTTCACACACATCAGGAAAAAGACAGAGGTAGCCGAACATGGCACTGGTATTGTATCCCTGCCACTTCTCTTTTAAAAAAAAAGTACATCTGGTGGAAGTTTGAAAAAGTAGAAAGCCAGAGGTTGAAGTTTCTAAATATTTAATGTGAGAATTTCCTTTTAGTCTGTGCGGGAAGGTGATTAATTTGCGGAAAAGAAAGGTCTGACTGTTCTAAGCGCTATTCCATTATGCAGGTAATGAGTCTTTCAAAAGTGTAAGGAGACAGTAATGAGGAGCCCGGGCATTAATGAATGATACCGGGCCTTAGCTGTCTTGGTCACATGGAATTCAGCACCACTAGGAATGAGCAGAAATGGGGGCTTGACAATTATGGTTGATCTGCACTGTTGTGCAGGGAGTTTTCTGCATAAAAAGAAAGATCTCTCTTTTTTGGCATGCCCAGTCTGGTACAGAGATGTTAAGGGAGGGGTAGGAGTTAAAGAAAATAGGCACCATTACTGATTTGTTTTCTGAAAAACTATTCATGCAAATTTTCTCATATAACTTTCAGGAAATTAGGTTATTTTATTTCATACAATTTTGATTACCTATTTCTTATTTTTTATTTAGTTATTTTTTTTTACATCTGTGTGCCTATCAGCCCCTGTACTGCATATCACTGTGTTGAGACAGTGCTTATTTAACCTCCATTTAAAACCAAGCCTTAGCAACATTATTTCAGTCTAATGTTTGGCTCTAATGAGCTGGACATGAGAGCAGTTTTCAGAGAGCAGCTATTTATAGCTCTATTGAGACATGGGTTCAAGGATGAAAAGTGCTTTGACAACCGGTAATGTCTTTGTATTACAGAAGAAAGGAGACATTCTCAGTGGTAGATAGGGCATTGCACACACAGACGCTGCATTTTAAGACTGCAGGGGTTTGATGCTTTAGTCTCAAATATAAGTCAAGAGATTAGGTATAATTTTTTTGGTTGTGAGACAAAGTATGCTCAGTAAAAGCCTTGTAAAGCCCCTTGAAACTGAAGTTTGTTGCAGCTGGTCAACTGTTGAGGCAGTGTTTGCCTTCTGGCCCCAGTTGATTGAACATTAAAACACTGTAGAGCTGAGCTTCGTACTCCTAATTTCTCCTGTTATGAATCTGCACCCATGAAGCGAGGAACGAAAAGATTGATTTTATACATATATATATAAAATGCTTTTCTTTGTGAAATTCGCTAATACTGTCAAGTTATTTCATACGTTATCTTCAAAGTTGCCTTTGGTTTAACTGATGCTATTTCGCTTAAGTTCAAGTCCCCAAAAAGTCACCAGTTTTACAGATTCAAATTTTATTCATCAGTTTTATTCTAAAGAAGCTGCTCTACTGCTAAAGACATCGTTTTTCATTCCTTTGTGATTTTGCTGTATCATCATTTAACTTTTACAGTTTTTCTGGTCTGGAGAAACTAAATCAGAGAGGGATTTTGGTTGAAAATCATTTTATTTTTGTACTGTCAAATCCATTTAGGCATCTTTTCATTGTGCTCACCCCTGCTTGACAACCAATTAAAATTGCGTATTTTTGATTTATTTCTCTTAAATGCTTTATCTTTAATCTTACTTTAGGCTACTTTTATTTAACAGCTGATTCCAGTTTCTAAGATTACCCTTTTCCCCTGCCCTTATAGTTGATCCAAGTTGAGGTGACATGCTGTCCAAACATTACAGTACCTTTATCAATCCTGGTTAACGTGCTGTTTGAGCAGCTAATGAAGGCTAACCTGGAAGAAAATGTCGGAAGGAAATTACTGCTGCTGTCAAGATCAGACAGAAAAGATTTAGCCTTCCTCAAAATCACTGTTGGCCAGTCGATTACAGAGGGAAACAATCACAATACTACTGCATGTCATGTCATGTTATACTGATGAACTGTGAATTACAGCTTTAGAAGGACTGTTTCTTTTACTCTTCATGAAAACTGTGATTATTCTTGATGGAATTAATAATTGGTAGATTTTAAGAAGTTTTACAAAATGTTTATTGAGTGTCCATTTTAATAAAAAAAAAATATGTAGAATTTTATGTTGGAATAAGCCTTTTACATGATTGAATGTCTTTTACACAAAGAATATACTTGAATGTGACAAAATAATAATATGTAAAAATTATTTGAAAATAAGCAAATGGAAATCTGACTTTATAATCTGGTTATTTTTTTCCCCGTAAAGTGCCTGGAGGTGAGATGTGTTGTGAATCGGCCGTATATAAATAAACTGAATTGAATTTCTTTTTAAATATGCTTCAACAAAATGGTTTAAAAACAAAAATGTGTCCACTTGTGCACTGAATTCCTAAAGCATGGAATTCAAGAACCTAAAAAGGGGCAAAAAAAAAAAGAAATAGATAAGTGAAAAAAGGGATTTAAAAAAAAAGTCTTGCAGCACATTCATTATTGATATGTAATCATTTAGACTTAAACCCCTTCAGATATTATTCACCAAGGTATTACTACTCTACACGTAAACGTCTGTATTTGTTGGTATCTCCTAGATTGTTGTTGGAGTTATGGCTACTACTGATTCATACATAGTCAGGTTTTTTCTAGTTACACATGCACCTTGAACATGAAAGGCAAGGCAAGGCAAGGCAAATTTATTTGTATAGCACAATTCAGTACAAAGACAATGCAAAGTGCTGTACATGATTAAAATACAGGAAAATAAAACAGAATCAAAGCAAGTAGGGAAAAAAAATAAAATAAAAAATGCAGAAACAAAAAAGAATATTAAAAACGGTTGTACTAAATAAAATATGTTCTAGTTGAACTGTTTAACTAGAACAGTCGAAGGCAATCCTAAACAAATGTGTTTTTAGTCTTAATTTAAAGGAACTCAGGCTTTCCGCACTTTTACAGTTTTCTGGAAGTTTGTTCCAGATAAGTGGAGCATAGGAACTAAATGCTGCTTCTCCATGTTTAGTTCTGGTTCTAGGTATGCAGAGCAGGCTGGAGCCAGAAGACCAGAAAGGTGCTAAGTTTTATTGCAGCTGTTTAGCATTCTAATAAACAGAACATTTAGCTGATATTGAAGAAGTACTTTAGTAACTGGGAAAGTTAGAAAGCCCCAGCTTTCAATGTCTCAGTTTAAGAAATATATACATTCTCAACAGAGATTTCAGCTATGTGATTGGGTGTCTTTCCTTTCTTTTTAAATTGCTATATTATTATATCATAATATATAAAGACAATCTATTAATTACATAATTTTGCAGTATTGACAGCATGCTCAAAAGTTGCTGGAGGTATCTCTCCATGGTAGAGCTGTTATCACTCTTCAAAGTTAAAAGGGAAGCTTTTATATCCCTAATTTATTTTACACCACTCATATTCAGCTGTTGCACATTGGGTATTTATAAGGCAAACAGGCATAGTCTTTGATTAGAGCTAAGTTTACCTGATTTCTGGATGCTAGCTTTTATTTGACTTCAGTCTACAAATAAATCCTATAAGGCAAAGAAAAGATATTTCTGTTCTAAAAATAACTAAAACGGTAGCATTGCTCAGCGGAGCTCATTAAATTATGCCCTTGATTTTGTTAGAGGCTCTCTAGGGGATTTTCCAGGTGTCATTTTTGTTTAGTCAGTCAAGAGTGTAAATTATTTCATTTAAATGATTTCAAGGTATATAACCTCTTCTAGATACAACTGAGTGTGAACCATCTTTTGCATAATCTAAGTAACCTTTATGGTGAGCAGTGACCCCCCGGCCCACACTCCTTTACTAAGTTAGCATTGATCTGTTTTTCTTTTTTTCTTGATAGCATCTTAATGAAATTGACTTATAAAGATCAATTTGCCAGACCTGCGCCAGTTATTTTTAGTCTCTCTGTTTAAACAGTGAGGGATTCAGTGTCAGTGACATTTAAGGGGTTAACAGTTTAATTAAATATGTACATGTTCCTTTAAAAGTAATTTTGGCTTTTTTTTTAAGTTAAGAGTACAGTTGACCTCAGAGCTAATTGCAGATTAAGGCCACTAATTAAATAGAGTAAACCTGAGTAATGAAAATAAAACAGAGCTGAAGCATATTTGCCGTTTTAATAAGAGCAGGCTACTAAGCCTGCAGTGTGCCTTCCTATGATATGGTGGTTTAGAGACAGCAGGTTCACTGTGGATGTGTTGCAGCACTTGTAACCTCAGCTTGAATTCCTCTAAAGCTAAAAAGACCGCTTTGATTAAATTACTTGCCTGAGTGTGCTTCTTGCCTTTATTTTTACAGTGATAAATGAATGGCGAACAAATACTTTTATCAGCTAAAGCTGAAAGATGGCAGTCCTCCCGAAGGTCGCCCTGGAATCAGATTGGCTGAGGGAACCTGCTTGGTAAAAGGATATTTCTGCTGTGATTTTACCCGATGAAATTCGATCTCCGACCTACTTTTCAAATTTACATATTCATCTTCCCTGCAGGTGGCTACCGTTATTGGCTGAAATTCTCCCTACACGGTGAGATTCAAAAGCATAAATATCACATCTCAGCAGCTAAGTTGCTGGGATGAGTGAGAAGGAAACCACGGTGGAACACCTCCGCCTGCGATCAAAAGCCAGTTTCATTAATTAATGAAGCCACCTCCTTATAGAATCAAGGCGTTCATCACTAACTGAGCGGATAAAACATTTACAGCAATCTGTCTCCAATTGAAGATGAAAAATCAAAGGTGTCTGACCTTGCTAAGCAGTTTACAAGGCTTTTTCTTCACACACGCATTTGTAAGCTATTCTGCAAAGCCATTTTACAAGATGGAACTTGACAGTCTGCAAAGTCTCTTTCCTCCTGCACATAAAGCAAATTTTGTCTAACTTTTGCTGCTTTTATGACTATTTGATGATTTGGATTGTTTTTTAAAGCACACCTGCTGTTGGTGCATTCATGTAATATTCACAAAGCAACTACAGATCTGTTGACAGGGCAGAAAAG